GTGTGTTAGAATGAAGGAAGGGGAGGGGTCATCCCAGTTGAGGTGGATATGTGCCATAATTGAGCTCTGTTAGATGTTGGCGAGAGACGAGGCGCAGTGTTGCAAATGGGATGCGCTTTTTTCCCCAGCTGATTCAAGACATCAGGCTAAGTTGGAATGTGTGTTGCTGTTTAATTGTGTATGTGCTCGTGTGAGTTTGTGTAACAGCACCGTGTGTGTTTGTCTGCAGGGGTTGTACTCTGTATATGTGTGTGTGTTTGCCAGTGTGTATATACCACACTCTAACACTAGCAGCTGGGTGCCTACAGTACCTGCCTGCTGCACTGCTATTTTCTTACACACACACACACACACACTCTCTTTCCTCGCTCTTCCTGTCTCCCATGTTGGGGAGTGGAATAGATGTTGGGGACCGATAGTAGCCCAGTGCCACTTCCTGGTCTTGCTGATAAGCTCTCTGTGCTGCAGATGGCTATCACTTAAAGGGTCCACACACATGCTCATGCACAGAGACACACCCGCAAACTCTCACACACACACACACACACACACACAAACGCAGTCATGCTACCTGTTGACAAGCCCTAGCACAGCCCTCCCGCTGGCACCGCAGTGGCAGCAGAGGCTCTGGTTATCTGCTTGATTTCACTTAGTGCGTATGCATGTGTGTGCGACAGAGCGGTGGGGGGAGAGGGAGAGAATAGGTGTGTGTGTGTTGTTTCGTTCTCGCATACACGCAGGGCCCCCTGTGAGAGGTAGAGTGATGTATTGAGGGAGAGGGCTGATTAATGAGGAGCGTTTATTAGAACATCTGTGTCAAAGATGGCGGAGAAAGAGGGAGCGAGAGAGATGGGGGAGAAAGACGGGAAGCGAGGGAGAAAGAAGCACAGCGTCTTTCCCAGGCCTCCTGTTTGTCGCCTGGAGCCGCCTAAGCCCAGATATACTGTAAATAAAAGATGCCAGGCTGGAGGAGAGGAGTTCATTATCCCCCTGACTTAACGGCGAATTCTTCTTACGTTAAATATGTGGTTTGCAGACGGATCTTTGGGTGGGGACGACCAGAGAATTTTGAACTTGCAGCTACTATTTCCTATAAAAATGAGTCAGTTCATGCATAAAAGTGTGACCCGTTAAACCTAACCTGAACTCCGTCGGCGCTTCCGCTGAATGAAGGCTTTTCAATATATTGATAAAAGACTGCTTTGTTGTAGCGTACAAGTCCAAATGCAGACCTTTTCACCCTCCTGTTTTTCATCATGCCGGGATGATGCACCGCAGCATGGTTGGCACAAGTTGCACGAATGTGACTCGCCTCAGCTGCCTGACTTTGCCTTTAAAGAGAAATAAAGAAAGAAATATTAATAATAAGCAGCTGAATGTTGAACTTGACTCCACCTGGTACCAGCAGGTACAGTAGTAATTGTGTGTGTGATAGTTGGTGTCTTTTCGATGTCTTCCTAAACATGTAATTGCTTCTTTTCCAACCTCGGCTGGGTTTTAATATTACTGAACCAAGACTTGGCTAGCGCAGAGCTCTAGCTTTTATAACGTCTCCTGTGTGGTATTCTCTGTCTCAAACAGAGGAATGGAAAATATTCCTCATGTAGGAGGAAGCTGGTTAAAATCGAGCCTTACCTGCTGCTTTTTTTTAACAAAAGGAACCTGTGTCTGTCTTGTTTCTTTTGGGTGGCTCGTTCCTGCCATGTCTAAAGTTTTACTTAGCTTAGCCGCAGCGCTGCTGTATAAGGTGCGGCGTACGGCTTTAATCCGGAGGTCAGGAGTTCAGAGTTTGATCGACCTTTTCGATGGCACAGCTGTCACCCTTTAACCTCCTTTTGTGGTGGAAAGCTGCAGCCAGAGAACCAGAATCATCCCGTGGTTGTTCATTTCTGCTCACACTGCCATGCTACTCTGCCAGAAGGTTCCCCCCCACCATCCTCCAAGCGCATATATTATAGAAAATGATAAAGATGGCATACCTATAATTTGAAAACAGATGGTTTGGTTCTTTTGAATATTTATAACAATCAAAAACAATTTCTCCTGTGCCAACCTCGCTATTCACCCGGAGGCCGGCAAGGTGTTAAAACATTCATTTTAATGAAACTGGATGGGAAAGAGGAAAAAAAAACAGCTCTTTTGTTTTTCCCAGGCGAAGGAGAGCGGTTGAAGTAAATGTTGAGAGGGCAAAGAGGCGACTGCATAGGGGGGAGACGGGAGCACGTACGCATCGGAGAACGACATGCTCGGTGCGGCCCCCAATCTGCTCCAAGTCGTTGTCTTTAACAGATTGTGTAAATAAAGAGCCGCGAAATAAAAGAGGTTTATCTGTTTACATCGCCGAGCTCCCCAGGTGCTGATATTCAATAAGCAGCTATCTTCTTTTCCTTTCAAAGGTAAATATCTCCACCGCATGCTCGTGGAGCGAGCAGATGTAGAGCTCAGGTGACCTTATAAGTGACCCAAAAAGTTCAGACAAACTCATCGGCATTTGATAAATAAAATAAATTATTAATTAATAACAGATAAATCCCCTTCTTTGATTTAATTTAATTTGTTTTACCTGTAGAAGAAAACAATCTCAGATTTCTGCATGTCTGATACTTTTCACTTAGCTTTTTTCCCCCCTGGTGCTGGGTTTTACTCGATCCCTATATTTTATTTGTTTTGACAAGCTACAGTGTTACTGCATGTTTCACAAGCTTTACTATTATGTCTGCATTTTCCACAATGAGAATCTAAAGTCTCTCTCTCGTTTTCTCTCCCTCTCCCTCAATCAATCTCTCTCTTTCAGAGTATGATTTCCTCCATTGTGAACAGCACTTACTATGCAAATGTGTCGGCGGCGAAGTGTCAGGAATTTGGGCGCTGGTATAAACATTTCAAGAAGACAAAAGATATGATGGGTAAGCAAAACGGAGGGGCGCAAAGTATGGCGCTCACACTTTTGTCTCTTTGCACACACATTCTCTCACACACACACACACACCAGTCACCATTGCAATATGTTCCCTAACCAACCGTCTCTTTGTCTTCCTGCTGTTGCATGAAGCAGAAATACATTTTTATTTTGTTGTCTAATAATTTAAGCTCACTGCAAGCACAGTGTTAACTTTGCTTTATCTATTATTGCTTTAACTAACACTAATGCAACACTAAAGTGACCCAAGACGTTTTGTTTTTTCGTTTGTGTGTGTGTGAGTGAACAAAAGCAAAAGATGCCTTCAGCCGGCCTCGTCTACAATTCAATTAGATTTCCTTATCAAACTTCTACCAACACATGCTTTATATAATCTCAGAAAAATCCCCTTTGACCTGCCAGGAAATGAGGTTATATAATAGCAGTAGCACCCAAGCTGCAGATAGCACGGCGATATATTTTTATGTCTTTTGATTCAGCAGAACAGCGCTCTGTTGTGAGCTGGTTTAATGCTGAGATATTAGCTTTACCAATCTGTTGAACATTATCTTTTTTCTTTACCAGCGTGCTGCTGCTGCTCGCAGTGATGATAGACACAGATATTATATCAAAATGTTTTCACAGCCTTCCATGCAAATAGTGTGTTGTGATCATATCTTATCTGATGTTTTTTTTTTTCTCCCCTCCATCAGTTAAAGTGGCAACATACACTGGGAACTTTATTTACTCGAGACCCACTGTACTTTAGTACTCTCTTGCATACACCTACACGTTTTCTGTCACAATTGTTTTCTTTTTGGTTTTATGTTCCTTAAAAGTGGAAGCGCTGCAGCTGCCAGTCTGGCCTCCGTTTTAAATGCTGATGTTTTAAATGTCATATTTCTGCTTAGCTGGAGTGGGAGAGACAAATTGTAGAAAGCCTTAACCCTGTCTTTCTTTCCTCACAACTCTGCAATGTATGCTGTGTGTGTGTGTCTGTGCGTGCGTGTGCGTGCCTCGCTATTTGACTATTCAGGCATGCGTCAACCCTCCCAGCTGGAGGGGTACCTGGGGACGTGTGTCCTCCGTGAGAGCCCGCGTGCCAATGCACTAGGTATGTTGCAACATGGGCGCACACACAAATACTCACACACGCACACTTTAGAGGACTTTGCTTTGGCATTAATTAATTGTGTGGAAACTCAGTATAGCATTACTTACATCCTTACAGCCTTTCTCCTTGTGTGTACCTGTTTCTTGTAATGAGATTATACAGATTAATACACAAAGATGAACACACAGTCACTTTTTGAGAAACTTTCCTTTATACTCAGAATGTGACCTTAACTGCCGTTAACGACCAGACTTTCCAAAAACTGACTCACAATTATAATCTTGATCCAAAAACCAAAAACTGTCATTTTAAAGTCACGATTAAAACAAAAAAAATCGCTCTGTTAACTTTAACTCACGTGGAAATCTCCATCTCGGTCACAACTAAACTTCGAGTTCCTTTACAATTTGAGAATCAATCTAAATGATTTATGTTTGTCCTTTTTAAAAAAAGCAATAATTACTACACACTTGTGTTTTTTCTTTGTATGAAACTCTCTGAGGACGTCGAATCCTGATAAGAAGCCAACCACAGATGTGTACGCACACAGAGAAGCAGCGATAGCATCTCAGGATGTACTCGTACACACTCAGATAAACTCACACGCGCACACGCCATGTTAGCCAAACCTCAGACGCAAAAACTTTGGCCCGTGAGCCTCAGGTGCCCACCACATGCCCGTGGCAAAACCTCCTGCCCCAGTCCAACCTCAGTATTTATGATGGGCTGTTGTATGTGGCCACAAATGGCAGCGAGAGAAAAAAACACTGGTGAACTGCCAAGCATGAAGGCTGCGAGAGAGAG